ATGTGTGTTTGATCTCTAGCACTGCAGAACAAGCGAACAGCCATAAAAATGAATGAATGAATTAATGAATGAATGAATGAACCGAATTAGATCTAAGTTGTATAGTGAGGATGTATGAGGAAGAATACTGATTGTCAATTTGACAGGATCTGGAGTCTCCGAGGAGAGGAACCTCTGGACACATCTGTGAGAAACTATCTTGGCTGGAGTGTGGATTCCTGGAAAGTAGAGTGACTGCAACAGAAACAAGACCACAAACAAACATTTCGATCTTTCCGACACCTTGGGAGGACAGTTCTTCTCCGTGCATTTTGGAGTTAGATGTGGCCTTGGAATTTGGGGAAACAATCTGATATTTGGGGGGAAGAACCTTTAAGAATCAGTGTGAAATTTTCTTCTTTCCCGAATGCTAATTGTGATGTGGGGTTTTTAGCAATCTGCACATAAGAATAAGGTGTAGAACAAGCCCCCACTTAACCTGTCATAAATGTGAAATAAGTAAAGAAATAAATCTTTATGTACATGACTTACTACATGTTTGTGGTTATGAAACTGAGAAAAATTTTTAAGCAAACAGTTGAAATCTAAAGGTTGATTCATGAGAAATGCAAAATTAAAAGTATATTTTCTACAGTAATTTCATTGAATTTTTTTGTCAGGGGAGAAGTTTCAATTAAGGGGTCGGACAAGATGGCTCAGGAGGTACAGGATCTTGCAACAATCTGATTTTGATCACTGGACCCTATGGTGGAAGGTGCGAACCAAGTCCCAAAGTTGTTCTCTGACCTCAATGCATTCGCTGTGACATACATAAACCTACACTTACGCCACCTCCAACACATGCAAACATACACATACAATATTAAAAAAAAACATTAAAAGAAATTTTCAATTAAGAGTGAGATACCCAGTAAATTATACTCAAGAAACAGAGTGAAAAAGAAATACACAGAGAGAGCATTAGAGGGCATCGGTAGAGGGTATGTGTGCACACACACGTGTGTGTAGCATTGTGAGAAAAGGAGGTAAACGGGGCAAAAAAGGAAGAAAAAGAATAATCTTAAAATATATCAAAAAAGGAATGTGGACACTTTTGGAATGGATGAAAACATATGGCAGCCCTGACATTTTCCTAAATTCTCCCTAAGCCACCAACATGGTCCAAAGAAGCTGCTAAGAATTACATATTTAAAACCACAACTATTCCTATCTCTTTGTTTGGTTGGTTTTTGTTTGTTTGATTTGGTTCTTTAAGACAGGATCTCTCTTCTTAGTCCTGGCTGCTCTGGAACTCACTGTAGGTTAGACTGGCCTTGAACTCACAGAGACCTACCTGCCTCTGACTTCCAATTGCTGAGATAAAGGTTTGAGCCACTGTACCAAGTGCTCTGATTGTTTATTGGTGTTAAATGTACCCAGGAATTTATTTTGCTTCCAGGAAAAGCACATCTCTCAGCCTCCCTTGAGGTATGACCAAGGAAGGGAACGGGAACAATGATCTTCATGGAGTAAAGCCTAGGACTGCAGGGAACAGAGGGTTAGAAGCCAAGCTGAGGCAGCCCAGTGGAAGAATGAAGCCATCCCTTGACAGGCATCCTTCAAAGCTCTCAGTGTCTTTTCCTTTTATATCCAGATCAAGAAAAATTGTGAATAAGCAGGACGGTGAGTTGATCAAGCATCACCCAGAGCAGTTCACATGAGGAGACTGGAGGACTGTGGTGATGCCCTCTGGGAGGAAGGACTTAGGTCAGGCTGCTCTGAGCATAGCATGAGGGGCCTGGGTAACTATAGTGAGGCTCACAGTAAGGACATGGCTAGTTTATCCAACTCTCTGGTTCTTTCCCCCAAACCTTCTGAGGATCTTAGTGCCTTGAAGGGGTGAAGTCAAGTGGTGGAGTAGAGTTGACAAAACCCACCTCTGTTCCAGCAGAGGTCTCGGTACCACTTTCTTCTCTGGAACCCATGTGTCTGGACCCCTAACTGACCTTGTGGGGCGGAGACTTGGAGCCAGCCTGTGCTGGATGTGTAGGTCAAGTAAGGAATTAATATTTTGTCATTTCCAGTCTCTGAAATGTTAGTCTTTCTCACCAGAGTGCAGTCAAGTCCACATGAGTGATACAGCATTTCAAGGAACCAGTTATGGTGTGTCTTACTTCCCAAACCTTTGTGAACACAAGAGTCAGACTTTTATTCTCTACTTTGTTATTAAAGAATATAAATTGGGGGAAGTAGAAAAAGACAAGATCTTCTGAGTATATTGGGAGCATGGGGACCTTGGGAGATGGTTGAAAGGGAGGGGAGAGACAGGGAGGGGAGCAGAGAAAAATGTAGAGCTCAATAAAAATCAATTAAAACCCCCAAAACAAACAAAACAACAACAACAACAAAGGAACACAAATTGGTCTGGAGAGATAATTCACTGGTTAAGAACATTGGCTGCTCATCCAAAAGTCTTGGGTTTGATTCCCAAAATACATATGACGTCTCACATCTGTATCTCCAACCCCAGGTGATCCAATGCCCTCTTCTGACATATATTAGCATCAGGCACACACATAGCACACAGACATACATGCAGACGAAACACACACACACATATAATTTTTTAATTTAAAGAATAAAGAATATAGATTAAACTAAACTATAATAATTAATTGAGAACAGCTACACACTACACATTGAACCTGGAGATGTATTTGGACAGTTTGATTCTAGTAAGAATTCTGTGAGGTGAGTATAATTGGCTTCATTTTGCAGGTGAGAAAAATGATCAGAGAGTAAGAAACCCATGTTGCAGGCAATAACTGCCAGAGATGTGTTTCCCTTTAGATCTACCTGCTTCTGGAGATGTTAATCTGTGTGTGTATATGTGTGCACATCTATGAGTGTTCACATGTGTGTGCATAACTTCCAAGATACAGATAAATTGCACTGAATTAGAACTTGCCAGAAATTGTGTGTGTAAACCCTGTGACTCACACATCAGAATGTGCAATTTACTTCATAAGCCTAGATTATATTCCAGACCCCTAGGTGTCAATTGATTTGGTTCATTTAGCCTGTTTTAGTTCTTTTTTACAAACATGGTACTATGCCAGGAACGTTGGATCCATGTAGATTTTCATGGCTACAGTGATTCAGCAGAGATTAAATCTCGTGTGCTTGAACTTGGGTGACGAAGAGTACTTTGTGGTCAGATGGGCTGATGTACCACGGTTTGATAGAGACCCAGAAAGAATTGTTTTTTTTCTGCTCTACAGTGAATGTATGACTCTATGCATGACACCTCCCCTCTACATGTGACTTAAAGACTCAAACTGTCAGCCTGTCATAGAAGTTCCCGTGCGGCTGGAATCTGCTAAGATCTTTAACTGGACCTTTCCTAGGCCCTCAGCTTCCTCTCTAAGCTTATCCATGCATCTTCTTTTCAAATGTTATTCATGTGCGTGTGCATGGGTGAAGATGTGTGTTTGTGCTGGGACACACGTGTGTGCTAGTAGATGTTGATATGTATTGCAGACACGTGGTGGCCAGAGATTAATCTCAGGTGTCTTTTCTCCTATCTACCTTTTGAAGGCAGGATATTTCACTGGGACTCGGGCCTTATCACTTTTAGGTTTAGCTGGTTGGTCAGTGTGTCCCAGGGATCCCTCTGTCTTGGTGATGAGATTACAATGTGAACCATTTCTACATCTATTTTACTTGTGTGCTCAGGTGGAAGTCCGTTCTTCCGGGCTGTACTGACTGAGACATCTCCCTAGCCTCAGAATCTTTGTCTTGAAGGTTCTCTGTGCTTACCATGAACTATTTGAGGAAACTCTTTCCCCTTCCATCTTTACCTGAACCTCTGCCTGCCTTTAACTCTCAGTTCAAATGCTTCTTCCATTGTGATATTCTCCACAACTCCCAAATTGTATCACGTCGCTCCATCCTGCAGTTGCCTATTCTAGTCTCCTCTAGGTCTCTGTCATGCTTTGTTAGGACACAAGGATACCTTGGCTAATGCTAGTTGTGCCCACGAAAGTCTAAATTTGGTAAGGACTTGGCAATCTTGTCTTGGCTCAGTGTAACAGAGAAAATACAATCTTTTGGGTAAGGGAATAAAATTGGTTGGGTGAGGTCTTGAGTGAACCAGTGCCTACATTTAAGAGGTTCCCAGACTTGGTCTATAGTTCACTTACAAATAATACTGGCTACATTTAAGAAGCCCTCATGACACATACCTCTAATCCACACTCAAAAGCCAATGCCACAGCCTGTGTGTGAAGAAGGCGTTGGAATTATTTGTACACATGCTACCCTCTGGAGAAAAAGCAATTACTATATTTAAAGGAGGTATAAGCCAAAAATAAACAAGGGGGTCAAATCAAGCCTACTGGCTTTTCAAAGCACCCTGCTTACTTGAAACACAGTGTTGGGAGTGACCACACATACATTTTTTAAAAAATCTATGAGAAATCCACTAATGCATTGGCGTGTGAATCTTCACCAGCAAATGATTCAAGATATATAGCAATGCGCAGCCATGTATTTCAAATTAGAATGAGCTCATTGGAGGCAAAATTAGATGGTAACGTATCTAAAAAGTCAAGGCACAATTTCTCCTCCTTCTCTTTTTGCCCAAAGCCATGGGAACAATTGCTTCATGATCTCAAATTCCAAGCTGTGTGACAATTGCTATGCCATAATATAAATTCCTTAGATGACCATGTTTTCACTAACACCTAAATCAAAAATTTAGAAAAGTAGCCATACTCAAATCATTACTTCATTTCATTTTCTCCCTGTGTAGCTGGGGACCCAAGAGCATGCTAGACAAACACCCTTCCTGAGGCCAAAATGTTTTCCCATTCACCTCTTGCCTAGTTAACTTTCAATCATCTTCTCAAAATTAAGGGTCACCTTAAATAGCTTCCATTATGGCTCTGTCTAGGTGAGGGGTTTCCCACCTTATATTCCCACAGCAACCTGGTGTTTTCTAATCCATTCTGTGGTTCACTGTATATTGTAGTGACCCCTTAGGTTTTTTTTTTTTTTTTTTAGGGGCCATGCTAATCTTCTCTGTATCGTTCCAATTTTAGTATATGTGCTGCCGAAGCGAGCACAACCCCTTGGGTTTTTGAGATTGCATACATGTCTTGCTGGGTCATCCAACAAGGTGGATATTCAGTAACTCCTTGCTATGTAGGTGGTGAGGGCTGTTAGAAGGTCCATATTCTTGCTGGGCATTCTCAAAAGATTCTGGAAGTTCCTCCCTGATTGATTTCTTAGTTTCTACTAAAATGCAGTATTCATTATCCATGGATTAGCTTCCTACTTAGGGTTTTGATTGTTTTAAATAATTTGTGGTTTTGGTTTTCTGGTAAGAAAGATACCATGAATAAAAGGAAACACAAATACAAAAACACAACACAATAAAACAACTGAACTTACTTATTTCCTTGAAAATTGGTAATTATAAGAAACTATCATTAGCCGAACAGTGGTGGTGCACACCTTTAATTCCAGCACTTGGGAGGCAGAAGAAAATGGATCTCTGTGAGTTCAAGGCCAGCCTAGTCTATAGAAGGTTCCAGAACAGTCAGGGCTACACAAAGAAATCATCTCTCAAAAACTCAAAAGAAACAAAACAAAACAAAACAAAATTCTTAGGGCTGTTGAAATGGCTAAGCAGGTAGGGGTGCTTGGTGACAAGCCTGACAACCTGAGCTGGATTCTTGGGATGCACATGACACAAAGTGCTGACTCCCATAAGGTGTACTCTGACCACACATGCTCTTTGAATTGTACACAGATGTTCACACACACACACACACACACACACACACACACACACACACTAAACAAAGAAAATCTAAAAATTTTTTAAAGAAATTATTATTAGCTTTATGACCAACTTTATTATTCGCAATATACTCAAAGGACAAAAGTTGATTGGACTCAAGAAACAGAATAAAGGGAAGAAGCCACACTGAATGTGGTGGTGCATGGGGTTGGTGTTTCCCCTACAAAGCAGCATGTACAACAGTCTCCATCATCCTCATTGTAGAATATTAAAAAATGATCAAACTTACGTTTATCTATGGGAACCAGAGTTTAGTGTCTTTTTGTTTGTTTGAGATAGGATTTCTCTGTATAACAGCTTGGCTGTCCTGGAAATCACTCTGTAGCCCAGGCTGGTTTTGCCTGCAGAGTGCTGGGATTAAAGGTGTGTGCCACCACTGCTGGGCTCAGTGCCTTATCTATAGTTATTTACTTTGTTTTCTCGTGTGTGTGTGTGTGTGTGTGTGTGTGTGTGTGTGTGTGATGAAAATGGAGGCCATTTCACAGAGGAGGTAGAGGGAGGGAGGGAGGGAGCAGGAGGAGGAAAGGCGGGTAACTACGACATGGAAGCAGATGTGGCTGTTGGGAGGAGATAAGGATCCAACAAGAGGAGAAGAGGAGGGAGAGGAGGGGAAGAGCAGTGGGGGTGGGAGATGAATAAGAACAAAATATAATGGGATATATGTATGAACGTGCCACAATAAAGGCCATTACTTTGAATGTTGAGGCGAAAATTAACTTAAAATTTAAAAATTATGAAAAGAAGGAACAAGCTAAGTCAATTCCATCATTTCTATCCTTGTGTTACCAAAAAAAAAAAAAAAAAAACAAAAAAAAAACTCAACTGTTTCCTGCCAGCATAAATCTTTACCCTGATATCATTTTTCTGTAATTTCTCAAAGGAAGCAATTAAAAAAAAAATAAAGAAGAGCTCTTGTCAGAAATGTTAGTAAAAGAGGGTTTGCTCTTAGGAAGTCCCTCAAGCCATCAGCTCCAAACCAGCCTGCTGGGAATATGAACGGATCCCCAGGCTTTCAGCATGGTCCCTGGAAAATGCTACGGGTCTTCCGCATGTGAACTTTGTGTCATCTTGAGTAAGGAGCAAGAACTCTGCTACAAAAGGGACACTGTGGTCAGGGGAATTTGTGGATTTGATCTTTGTGGCAAAGACTGAGGGCTTGCAGGGCAGGAGGCAGGCTTTCCTACACTGGCTATTTTAGTATTCACCCCCTATACTGCTTTCTAAGAAACTACGAGGGAAATGGGAAGTTGTACACAGGAGTAAAAGACAAAGAAAGAACTCCTCAAAATAGAAATGTATAAAAGCGCATTTCTACTTCTCCTTTGTTCTTTTATTTTTTAAATTTTACCAATTGATTTTGTTTTTAAAGATTTACTTACTTTGCATGTATGTTTTGCTTGCATGTATGTCCGTTCACCACATGTGTTTCTGGTGCCCATGGAGGCCAAAAGAAGGCATCAGATCCTCTGTAACTGGATTGATGTGTGAGCCACCACGTGGACACTGGGAATGGAACCCGGGTCCTCTGGAAGAGCAGCCAGTGCTTTACCTGCGGTACCTCTCTGATACCTCACTTTTGTTCTCAAAGGGCAAAAGAACCAACGATTCCTAGTTTTATTGCTACTCCCAACATGCCACAGTTCCAAGGGCTGCACTGTCAGTTTCAGATGTTATTTCTAATGCACTGGGGACAGAGGTGGGAGAGCTCTGTCAGTGTTCTTAGATTTCAGCTCCAAAATGTTAAAATAAATGATTGTTCCGAATCAGAATAAAAGAGCAGTTGGTCTCTGCCAGCCTTTGAGCAAGGCAGTCTTTTGGGGAAAGCAACTGTCCCCATTGCTGTTTGGGGGGCTCAAGACCATAGTCTCCTATTTGTTGGTTGATTTCATAATACCAGGGTCGGAATTTAGGGGCTTCTGCCTTCCAGGCAAATGCTCTATCACTGAGACACACTTACAACCCTTGAAGTTTTTTCTCTGTGTTCCACCAGCGCTCCTTCCCTCCTGCAACTCGCCTGTGTGCTTTAGCTTGCTATTTTTTAGGTAATGGTCGCTAAGTCCTTTTACTTTCTCTTTGTTATATAACATATGTAAATGATGTAGCTCCCAAAAGGCAGAGTGTGTGTGTGTGTGTGTGTGTGTGTGTGTATGTGTGTTACTACCTGGGTAGCAGTAGAGTAACATAACACTAGCTCCAGCTATGTGGGAAAAATACTCCAAGGCTCCGAAACTCCAGCTAATCCCAGGTATCAGGAGCTTGTTGGCTGATAGGCTGTTAGTTTGTATGGGAACAGTCTTTCCATTCACAAACAGACCCTAGCTGGGACCCTGTTACCACCCTCAACTGCCAGCAGGCCCTCTCTGAGAACTAGATTAGCCCTTCTAGGTCAAAAGAATGGCAGTGGAAAGTTCTATAGTCCCCCATGCTTCATTGGACTTGGGGAGAATATGAATATTTTTATTTACTAGAGAAACACTTTTTTCCTCATTTATAATTTCATGTCCAAGATAACATGGAACCCTATACTGGCAATGACTTATTTTCTCTGATTTGTAGGAACTTCAAATTTAGTTTAAAAATGCAAACTAACAGAAATTATCCATTATTAAAGTACCATCATTTCTTTAACAAATGGAAAACTGGGGCCACAGACAGGCAGGGAATAGAGTTTATTTTTAATCAAATCCCAAGAACATGAAGAGTAAGGAAAATAGATTTTTATTTCAGAGCTGAGTATGCCTCTGGATAGAAGGAAGGCTCAAAGTCCTTACGCATGTTCTTGCTGTGGGAATTTGTTTATGTCAGAATGTGTGTTTCTTTATCTCATTCAGATGAGTTGAGAGAGAGCCACCCAATATCATTTCTTAGTCTGCGGATTATTCTTTCTCACAATGAAAGTTATGACAACAGACTTCCTACTCTGGAGGAGTGCAGTAAACTTTTATCTTTCTACTCTGCATGGAGAAGTGGCAGAGACTGGCCCACATCCAATATCCAGACAAAACTCTTGGGCTACCGTTGGCAGTAATATTAACAATAGCTAGTGATAGCACTTGCAGTGTATTGAGTGCATGCTGCATGCTAGATGATGTGTAGTAATAAGGGCAGCGGGGCTGCGTTCCCAGCACCCCGGCCGCCTGCTCGGCTAGCTTATGCCCCGAAATAATTACACGGACACTGTATTCTTTTAAACACTGCTTGGCCCTTTAGCTCTAGCCCTTACTGGCTAATTCTGATATCCCGATCAACCCATCTCTAATAAACTGTAGCACTGGTCTTACCGGGAAGATTCTAGCCTATGTCCATCCTGGGTCGGAGCTTCATAGCATGCGTCTGCCTGGGAGCGGGGCATGGCGTCTCTCTCAGGCGTCTGCTCCCTAGAGGAGAGCTGTCAAGTCTCTGAGCTCACTTCCTCTTCCTCCCAGCATTTTGTTCTGTTTACTCCTCCCACCTATCCTCTAACCAATAAAATGGGCCAGGCAGTTCCTTTATTAGCCAATGACCTTCCTCCATCAATGATGCACGTGTGCAAGGCTACCTTAAAACACTCACGTGACTGACAAATAAGAAACTGACCCAGAATGTTTGTAGGACATGGTCAAAGTTAGATATTTATGTTCAGATCCAGATGTGAAAGTTCACGCTTTTCAGCCATGAAGGTAGAGTCCCGTGGGCAATATGAAAGTTTTAAATCAGGAGATGACTGTATGTTACGGCCTATGGCTACTGCCAGGCACAATTAGTAGATCGCCTTTTATGTTCCAAACTGTCCCAGTTTGGGTAAGAAACCTGACAATCTCTGAGCATAGCTTAAAATAAAGACAAGGGACTGATGAAATTGTTCAGAGGATGAAGGCACTTGCTTCCAAGCCTGATGATCCCCAGAACCCACATGATCAAAAAAAGAAAACTAATTCCTTCAAGTTATCTGCTGACTTCTATGTGCACACTGTGGTGTATGCACACACACACACACACACACACGCACGCACGCACGCACGCACGTACACACACACACACAATGAACACATGCATGCATGCACCAAACAAGTAAATAAATGTAAAAGTTCAAGAATAAGGCCTTCTGGAGATGCTGTTTGAGATCCTTTTCCCTGGCATGAAGGGCCTCAATAAATCCCCATTTGGGTGCAGTGTGAAGTAGTTGGGAAAGCAGATGGGTTTGTCAATGACTAGCTTTTATCAGTGAAGTTAAAGATCTTGGTGTCTCAAATCTAATGCTGTGTTTAGGGTTGTCTCTCT